CTTGCCTCCGCCTCCCAAGTAGCTGGGACCACAGGCGCCCGCCACAACGCCCGGCCATTTTTTGGTTGCAGCCATCACTGTTGTTTGGCGGGTCCGGGCTGGGGATTCGAACCCGCCACCTTAGGTGTACGTGGCTGACGCCTTAGCTGGTTGAGCTATAGGCGCCGAGCCAAGAACTCTTGAAGAATATATATTAGGTTGTTACTAGTGAGTCATTCAGGAAGAGAGAGATCTAAGTGGAGTGGGAACAATCAGGCAGAAAGGAAAAGAAAACAAGAATAATAATAATAATAATAATTTATTTCTTAAATTCTTCAGATCCTCAACATCCATGAAAAGTCAGATTCAAAAAAACAAACAATATGATGAATCCCAAACAAAAACCAAACAACATTGATTCCTGCCTACTCACAGTCAGGTGTGTGTGAAGGCAGACTTCCTTATCTATCGTTCTAGCCTTTTTAATAGAAGTTACATAATGAACAGCATTTGGTCTTCAGGAAGAGAGTATTTTGAAGCCACATGTTGACGTGTTGATTGCCTTAGAAAAATAGATGTTGAGTAACCACCAGCTTCAATTATTACCCATTCATCTAAATATCCGTCACTGTTCCGTCAACTCCCACCTACCACACTAGAGAAGATTGGGTGGGGGTAGAGGGTTGGAAGTAAGTTGGAGGAAGAACTTAAGACATTTTAAAGAACACATTAGACACAGAAAAGTGGACCAAAAACTGCTAACATGTTTGGCTTAGAAAGATGAGTTAGAAAATTTGGAATAATTTAGAACAACCCCTCTGGGATATGGACAAGCAAAGTCCCATTAACAACTGATTGGCTTAAGAGTTGATACTTACATATGCAACTAAAACAAAAATTTTATGAAACAATACTATAGAAAGCATACCTTGACCTTCCCTCTTTATACTACTTAAAATACTACATATTTTATTCTTTTTGTTTAAACAAAAAAACAAAACAAAACTGGTCACATCCCAGGAATGAGTCAGGACTGCAGTCTGAAAAACACTGACATACGGCAGCAGGGAGGATTAGTATTAGTGCTCTGGGAACTTCCTCAAGGTCATTTTTTCACTCCGTGTTACTTGTTAAAATTCTGAAGTAATGCCCGTGTAAAAGAGAACAGCCTCTTCTCCCACCCTCCATGTGCACATTTCCTTGAGATTCTGAACTAGAAACAGGGAAGTTATTCTAAAAAGACAAGTGGTAACTTGGGGTAACTCACACATACAAGTTCTAAGTCATGTATTTTTTCTTTTGTTTGTTTTTTGAGACAGAATCTCATTCTGTTGCCCTGGTAGAGTGCTGTAGCATCATCATAGCTCACAGCAACCTCAAACTCTTGGGCTCAAGTGATCGTCTTGCCTTAGTCTCCTGAGTAGCTGGGACCACAGGCTCATACCACCATGCCTGGCTTATTTTTCTAATTTTTGCAGAGATTGGGTCTCGCTCTTGCTCAGACTGGTCTCAAACTCCTGAACTCAAGGGATTCGCCTGCCGTGGCTTCCCAGAGTGCTAGGATGATAGGCATGAACCACCGTGCCGCCCCAGGTCATGAATTTGTTGTGGATTTGCTTATTGATTTGTCCTTACTTTCCACCATGAGAGCCTTCTTTCCTCTCAGCTCAGACTAGTTCTTCTTGGTTTCAATTTTTATTCAGTCCATTAAAATTTGCTGATTAGGGAATACCAAGATGAATAAGAAAAACCCCTCTACCTACGAGTAACTCATGGATTAGGAGCAGAAGGCAGTGTAATAGGGTGTGATGTTGAAGAGAAGACCAGGGGAGGTGCCTGGGCAGCAGTGCAAGATGGGTCTGACAAGGGGTAGAGATGGTTTCTCAGAGGAAATGGGTTGGGAAAAGAAATGACCTAAGTTTGGGGTGAGAGATCGCATTCCTGGAAGAGGGAACAGTGTGCACATGGCCGTGAGACGGGGAGAACTCAAGGTTACATTTTGTTAGTAGCTCTGGGAGAGCAATGGGAAATGAGGCTGAGTGGAGGGAGGTTTGTGAAGGCCCCGCTGTGCACACCCGTAGACTCTGAAAGCCTCCTGCTCCCCCGGTGACCCTGCAGCATGCTCACTGTTTTCTGGGAGGGAGCAGGAAAGGGCTTGGCTCAGATTTCTGGGTCTCAGTCTTACTTTTTTTCTACTAGACTACGGCTCTATCTAAAGTCTGGAATTCTGGTATTATCTGACTTCTCGGTGTCTGGTATAGCAGCTGGCATGGACTCAATAAGCACTCAGAGAAATACCAGACAATGAGCTCACCCTTACGGCCCAGAACTTGGCAGGTATCTGAAACTCATATCTAGTTTATGCTCTAATCTGCAAGAGGAATAAAATGGAATCACAGTATTTTTGGAATAATTTAGCTATAATTTCCCATTTTCCCTAGATATGGCAACTTGGGGACACCATTAGGTTTTCCCCCAAATCTTTAATTGTTGCTTACATATTTGTTTCTCACATATTCACGTATGTAATGGTTACATAATCTCACTGTGTAGATAAACCATAAAGTATTTCACCTATTCTCTATTGTTGGACATACAATTCTACATGCTCTACAATTCCTACATTCTCTAATGTAGGTTGTTCTGAATTTTTGTTGTTGTCATTAGAAAGAAAATCTTTGCAAGTAAATCATGGGGCTTCGTATTGATTATTCTTAAGGGAGGAATTACTGATTTGGTTACAGGAGATGCACATCTCTGAGGCTTTAGATACACACTGCCAAGTTGACCATCTCAAGAAAGTTGTACAGATTTGCCATAATCAATGTTTAAAACTTTAGCAACTGTAGATCCAACAGGTCAGTTATTTCAGTTAGCTTAGAGTTCCATTTGTCTTGGTTTTTAATTATTTAAAAGTACTAATAATTGCGATGCAATCATTCATTACTTTGAGAAGCCAAGAGATCTTATTCTTAAATTGTAAATTAATCTGTCAGAGCTAGGAGAGAAACGTGTGACTAAATGGCCAAGGATCACATTAGAAGTGTCCAGGGGTTTTCCTGTAGAGGTCACTGTTACTGTCAATTTATGCCTGAAAAGAAACTAAAATAGTCTTGCATTTAAGCATGCATGCACATTCATTTTTAAAACCTGATTTGCTATATTTCTTAAACTATAAAATAAATAATAAGACCTTGCTGCCAGATAGCATCACAGATGCCAAGTTCTTTATACATATAATGATACATCTCCACTCCACTCAATATCCTCATCAGTTTGAATTGATAAAATATATGCTACTTGTGTGAAAGGCACTTAGGCTGCTCTTAATAAAGGAAGCATTAGCTAATTGTCTAAAGCCATAAAGTGTTTGCATGGCATATGGCTGACGTGAAGAAAAGGAAAAGAACATTGATTGCTGTGGTGGACAGGATCCTCTCTCGCCATCTTCCCCCTTTCCTGCACCAAAATCTACAGTCTGATGTTTTAATCTGCATTCTATTGTGCCATTTGAATACAGAGAGGTGCTTTTTAATTTTTAAGGTTTTATTTGTGCTGCTCAAACATGATCCCGACGTTCCAAGAGCCAGGTCAACGTGCCGGCGCAGACACAATGGCAAGGCGGCTGTCAGGCTTCAGGACTGAGGCGGAGAACTTGACAGGTGCAGCTGGGAACGTGTCAGCCCTTTCCCATCATAAAATGCAAAGCAACCAGCTGCTTTCCATTCTCCACTTCCCTACCTACCCCACCCCGGAGACTTAGGAAGGGCTGGGAAGGAAGTGTTATTTACACCCCCCCCCCGCCCCCGATTTTGAACTTCTTTTATAACTGGACCCAGAGGCCAGCAGGCTCAGGCCCAGCGGCACTTTGCAGATAACCGCAGAGCTGGGGCATCTGGGAAGCGGGAGGAGCCCGTCTAGGAAATTCGGGTACTTGTAGTGGAGAGGCTGGTGTTCAAGCCGCAACTTGAGGGCGGGTGGAGACTTCAGCCTCGCCCCTAGCGCTTTGTGTCCTGCGGCAGACGCTGGGCTCAGCCTCACTCCTCTTGCAGCCAACTACGGCCGTGGCCGCTGCCGCCTCCATTCAGGCTGTGAGTTTGCGAAACTCAACTCGTTGGTCAGAACCGGGATCTGGGAGGGAGAAGGGCTCGGCGGCCAGAGTGTGCGATTCGTTGCCCCCTCAGCAGGCGGCCCTCCCCGCTCCAGGACGCCACGGCCAGGCAGGTAGCTGTCGGGGTGCTCCCGGAGACTCCAGGGCCCCTGGCTCCGCGCCTCCTATCGCTCCTAAGCGCCTTTGGCTTGGGGCGCCCAACTTGGGCAGACGCCAGGGCTGCAGGTTCGAGACGCTCCGCCTCCTCCAGCCACTTAGAGCCACAAGAGCCAGCAGAAACCCTTCCACTGGGTCATTGCTGAAGTTTTCGTAACTTTCCAGGCAAGGGCCAACCAGGTCCTTTACTTCCGACCCACCAGGCCTGCACCCGCACCTCTCCCCCGGGCACCTGCGGGTTTTGAGGACCCAACTTTCTGCGCGCCCCGTGACTAGAGGTCCCGCTTCTGTGCCAAGAGGAGCGCGCATCTTCCCGGGGCAGCAACTCCCTCCTCCCCCGACCCAGTGCGGTGCTGGACGAGCCTGGATCTGGGCTGCCCTTCAACGTTCCCAGCTCTCAGTATTCGCCGATCCTCGAAGGAGAGTGAAACTCAGAGGTCCAGTCCTCTTACTGTGAACCTCAGATCCGTCCCGTCTTTCCTCTCCAAACCCAGCGTCCGACGCGTATTGGCCCGGCGGAGTCTCGGGCTCTCCGTCGGGTGCTGGGCGAGCGATGGCCGGCTGCTGCTGCCTGTCCGCGGAGGAGAAGGAGTCGCAGCGCATCAGCGCCGAGATCGAGCGGCAGCTTCGTCGGGACAAAAAGGACGCGCGCCGGGAGCTCAAGTTGCTGCTGCTGGGTGAGTGGCTGCGTCTCCCGTCCCCGGCGATCCGGGAGTTTCCTCCCAACCCCTCGCGCCGCCTGGGGCTCTCGGAGGCCCCAACTCGCGGCCTTAGCAGCCTGTCTTTGGCAAATCCAGCGAGTGACTTGCAACGGCACCCCCTCCCCCTATTCCAAAACGAAGTTAGGACGGGTTACGCTTGACTCTTGTGCGCCGTGCCCTGCGTGTTCCAGTGCGCCCCTCTCCCCAAAGCCCGGTCCACAACCCAGCCCCCAGAGCGCCCAGCTAGAGCTCACTGGTGGGGAGCTGGGGGCTCACGTCTTGGTTAAGCTCTGGCTCTGAGCAGTAAGCCTTCAGGTCTAGACGAAGTGCACTAAGCACGTGCCCGATCCTGCTGGGTTCTCATGGGCGTCCCCACACCGTGACGGGGGCAGGTGACGTCCCATTCTAGAGAGTTAAAAACGGAGGCCCAGAAAACTGACAATTTTGCCCCAGTAGAGAAAAAGCAAGGGATACCAAGTCAGTCGTGAGGGTGAAGCCCACGCCATTATCTGCCCTTCTGACCCTGTGACCCCTTACACCTGCCTCCCATGGGTTTCTTGGCAAGGAAGGCCAAAGGTCTGTCCGTTCCCAGGGCTGATCTTTCTCTTCTGGCCCCTAACTCTGAGAGGTCTGGGAATTCTAAGTAGTACCTGGCTGATCCGGCTGCTTTAAAGCACTTTTGTCACGGGGCG